CATGCAACCAACAGCACCGAGGGTTAGTAAAACAGAGAAATCATGAACTAATAAGTGCTCAGAGTGATGACTCATTGCATTGGATCATCCTTGGGAAACCACCTACTAAGCAGAATTTAGCAGACAAGGTGCTATTTTGGGCGCATGATTTATTGCTACTTCCCTTTGGGAAAAAAATAAAGATTAATCCCAGTTCCCTAAAACACATGAAATTTGCTCATTCTGGCAGATGAACCTGTCAGGTAATTGCTATTTCTAGAACAGGACAGGGCTGTGTCTGCTGTAGGGACTTCTTTGGAATAAGACAGAAACACTTAATCATGCGTAATAGAAAGGAGCATTGACCAGCAGACAGAAGCCCCGTTCTTAACACCAGATCTGTAGCTGATTAACAAATCACCCACAGCAGGCCACTTACTCTCTGCTCATCTGTAAAAACCAGAGAGCTGAGCTTCTGGCTCATGTTGTATCACAGATGAAAATAATACAACAATAATAAACCACATGATGAAGCAGTTACTACTGCTGAGGAGTAAAAAGAGCCTGCTCAATAAAAGTAACACTACCAATCAAGGAGTAAGTATAATGAATGCTTTCATTCAAAGTCATTCACTTTTGTTGAATACTGTGTTCTCTTCTTCTCCCTTTGTTGTTTCTTTTCCTTGTTTATTATGACTAAACATGCAAGGGCGATTCAATGCTGTTGTTTGGTCCTATCTGCGAATGAAATTCCTAGATTTAATTTACCCATGATACACTGCTGGGCTATTTACAAAGATCACCAGAGAAGTTTAAAGACGATAGTTAGGAAAATGACAAAACTAAGGGACAGCATGTTTTCTTATTTTATGCCCCTGGCAGTAAAGCTCATTAGTTACAGCATTCCCCTCTGCTCCTTCAATTGTGCCCCTGAATGTGGTCGTTTCCACAACTGATTAAGGAATCAAGGTCCTGAGAGTTTAAAAGATTAGCTGGAGTTTTGAGATCTGTTTACTCGCTTGTTTATTCATTTTTCTTCTTCAGAGAATATTAAAGGATTAGCTGGAGTTTTGACATCTGTTTACTTGCTTGTTTCTTCATTTATTTTCTTCAGAGAATTCTGAGTGTGGGATACTGCTATGGATGCTATGAATACAGCAGTCAATGAAATATTCTCCCTCTCTGTGAACACACTGATAATTTGTTAGAATGTGTATTTTATGGTTTATAAGTAAGTCTGAACATTCTTATTCATGTTCATTCTTATTCACCAGTGGTAATACTCCTGTGAATTTCTACGTCACAATTTCTAATACTGCCAGATGATTCGGCTTAAACAAATGGGACAGAAACTATGAGCAATACTTGTTATTTTACTCCTTGTAAACATCCCTGAAACATAGGCATTATCATCCTCAGGTGAGAAGTCCAGGGCTCAGGAAAGTTTGTAACTTAAGACACAGTTATGCATGTGGTTAGCTGCAGGAGCTAGAATCTATACTGTATGTCATGATTTCTTATTGATTCTATTTTTTAAATCAAACATTTAATTGTAGCAGCACATTAAAAAATGTGTTGTTTAAGTCATAATGTCAGTCTTTGGCTTCACTACTTAGATTATTTATTTATTTATTTTGGTACCGGAGATCGAACTCGGAACCTTGCACTTGCGAGGCAGGAGGCGGAAAAACTGAGCTAAAACCCTGGCCCACTTAGATTATTTGTGAAAAAATGAATTTGTAAGAATGAGGAAGCTAAGGGCATATAATTATATTTATGATCCATTTGTATTACACATTCTGTAGAGAAGAACAACTCTGCCATATTTTTTATTTTACAACAGAAAGATATAACTAGTCAAGTTTTTTTAATGTAACAACATTCAGTTAAAAAAACTCAAAACCTTGTGTATAGTAATACTTACATTTTGGCTAAAATTCTGAAAGACTGGACATATATGATAAACATGTTTGTATAATATAAAATGTAATTATATACATATAAAAGACTGGAAAAGGACATAATGAAAATGTTAAGATACATATTTTTTTTGATTCTTTGTTTTTTCTAAATCAAAATTTTCAAAACTTTGCTAAGATAATACTTTTTAATTTGAAAAATATAATAAAAGTCATTAAAAATAAAAAGTAAAAATATAGTCATATGTTGCTGTCTCTAAACTTACGGCTTTAGAAAAAGATAAATTTGCAGATATTAAGAAAACTTTGAGGGCTGGGGATTTAGCTCAGTGGTGCTGCTGTCTTCCTTGAAAGTGCAAGGTCCTGAATTCAATCCCTGTACCGGAAAAAAAAAAAAAAAAAAAAAAAAAAGAAAAGAAAAAGAAAACTTTGAGAGTAACTATATGGCCATAGGGGGCTACCAGATTGCATGAGGTTTCAAAGGCCTCTAACAAAATTGAAGATTTAAATAGCAATGAATATTTTAGTCAAAAACTCCCTGTGGATCTAGAAAACAATTTGATCCGATTTTCAAAATTAAGCAAATGAATGTCTACTTCCAATATAAAGTTTACTTAGTAGCCAGTAGGACTTCTCATCTTGGAATTATAACTGAGGGACACATTTTCCTTGAAAAACAAATTTAGATTCTTTCAACTTATAAAGGAACTTTGATGATTTTCTTTTTTGGGTGGTGTTGGGGATCCATCTCAGGGCCTCAGAGGCATGCTAACCAAGTGCTACCACTGAGTCAAACCCCCAGCCCTTTCTGCCCATTTTTGGCTAGATTAAAATCCTGAAAGAAATTTTAAAGAAGTATAGGAGAATATTTAACTTTGAGGTCACTTTTTTTGGTACTGGGGATTGAACTCGGATCCTTGCGCTTGCGAGGCAGGTGGTGGAACCACTGAGTTAAATCCCTGGCCCTAGGTCATTATTTTTAAAAAATTACATAGATAAAAACCAGTGCAACCTAAACAAGTGTTGAATAGGAAGTTAATTTCTTCAACATCAACAGCTAATAATAAGAGGTATAAGTTATCACATGCTTATTATGGTATAGGGTAGTGATGGTAAACCTTTTAGAGACGAGTGCCCAAACTACAACCCAAAACTGACTTATTTATTACAAAGTGCCAACACTGCAATTAAACTGAATACTGAGGTTTTAGTTTAGAAAAAACAACTTACACATTAACACCTTTTGTCTTAAAAGAAAAACAGCACGTTGTCACCCCTGGTATAGAGGCTGCTTTACTCTGTTTTACATATAGCATCTCAAATAATTCTAACAACACTTTGCTAGGTAACTATCATTTCCAATTGAAAGAGAGGAACTGAGGCTTAGAGAGGTTAAGTGAAGATCAAATATCAAACACTGAAGAGTACATCCAATGGTATTTACATAGGTGATTATTTTTTGGGAAAGAAAAAGTCTTGGGATAAATTCAAATTGGAAAGTTTGTACTGTTCATTCATTTCAATTATCAGAACTCTTTAAAACTTACCAAGTATTTTGGGTAAAAGTACTTATATATTATAAATAGTATGTTGTATAATTTGTTAATAAACACTGTATGCACTGCTTATAAAATGCACTTTCAGATTGTGTACTTGTAGTATATAACTAATGCATACTTTTAACTACTTTGAATTTACATGCTAAATGTCTAAAAGACATTTTAATTTTCTTTATATGGCAATTGAACTACTTTGTATGAAGTTTCCAAAATATATAAAAAGACTTAGTATATATTTGGCATTATTTTATTAGCACCAATACTGTTTCTAAATAAACGATTTACTGTACAAGACGAACCTGGTGTCGGCTAGATGTGGGGGCCCTTGCTGCAAGGAGCGTGCAGCCTGAGGCACTGTGGGACGGCAGCCCACCAACTCTAAGTCCCACCCTTGAACTAATGTTTACTGTCTCCCATCTCACTGACCCCCTCATCTGAGGCTGGGGCTGAACTTTCTGATACCTTTACCCACTTGTTTGGGAGTGCTGACAATGCCCAGCGCGAAGGATGCTTCAGAGCAATTGTGGCCTCTGCCTCCCCTACTCCTGCTCTGTGCCTTCTCTGATGGGCAGCAGGACAACACATTCTGTGTCCACCGCCCAGGCAGGGCAGGAACCCCAGTTCTGCTCTGCCGCTGACTGGCTGTGACCTGCGAGGGCCTCTGAACCTTAGTTACCTTAGTCTCTTCCAGCACAGGTGAGGCTGTTTGTGTGCCTCAAAGGTACATCACTTGCATACTAAATTAAAATATGCCTGCAAATTAAATATGTGCTTGAAAATTCCCTTTGATTCCCCTGAGTTAACCAGCCCTTCCAAGCTAATGATGTGCAGAAAAACAGCAACTTTTGTTTTCCAAGCAGAACCACCATATTTGGTCCAATTTCAGACACCACCCATTGATTAAAATTTACATCCTGATTTTGTAAATAATCAAATGCGAAAAACAAAAGACATCTTGGAAACACTGAAGTGTGGGCGAATAGCTGGGAAAATATTTTCTTGCTGGGTGGTGATGAAATGCTTCAGATATACTGTATTCAGACTGTCCTTGGTGTTACCCTGGAACTTATATTTTCTGCACCCATATAGATCCATTTACTTTTCAGTTCAGTGAATACAGCTTTGCTGAGAGTTTTTTCTCCTTGAAGTATTAAAAAAACAACACCTTGGAACTCTGGTGAGCACTCATGGAGAGCTGCCAGCCTAAAGTTCTTGAAATAAAGAAAGTAAATAGAAGGCTGATTCTTCTTGCTAAGCATTTCTCAGTTACAACATGCATTTCTTGAAAACTGGTGAATGGCAGCAGCATTATTGAACAATTGCTCTGGCAAGTTCAGTAAAGAGAACTATGGGGAAACTCCTTTGACATAACTTGGCAATCAGACCCCCAGGTTCCCTGCCTGGTGTTATCAGTGGTCTGAGGAGCAATGTTAGGAAACTGACAGAAGCAGTCTAATTAAACGCAAGTCATTTGCTTCCTTCACGGAAAGCTTTCTTTCCCAGCAGCATTAGTGGAGAGTATGGATTATTGCTTAATGCCTTCCTGTTCTCCCTGGAAAACTGGAGTCAGTGCCTGGGGCACTGCCATCATGCCAGCATCATGCCTGATGATCACACCAGACTATGAGGCTTAAACCCCATAGTACAATTTCCTTTGTTTCCCCCTCCTTCTCTATAATTTTTTTTGTTGTTGTTATGGGCAGTGACAGTTTCTGGTTTCTTTCGTTTATCAACGGTTTCTTTTACCACAGCCTCTATTCCTCCTGCTGGAAGCCTGGCATGATTGGATGCTGGGAGAAAAACCACAACTGAATAGCCTGGCACTTACTATAACAGTCATTTCCAACCACAGATTAATACTGTTAGTGGATTTGACTAACGGCTCTTAATCAGCCCAACTGTCATCCCTTGAGAATGTGCTCACCAGTGAAAGACAAAAGAAAATATAAGCACCTCCAAAGCATGGTATAGTTCTGCTGATGGCTCATCTTCTGCATCCAAAGGTATCTCTCTGAATATCCTTTTCTTGGTTCTCCTTAATAATCTGAATAATGAGTGGACCAGGAGATAAGATACGCCCTGCTCCAGCTGGTTAGAGGATTAGGCCAGCTGGTAAGAGCTGCCATGGGACCCACTTGTGTAGAAGGACACACTGCTCAGCTGCCCAAGGAATGTGTGTGGAGCCTGTACTCTGCCCTGCCCACCTTGGGAAACTGCACTGGATGCTGGTGGTTGTGTTAAAAAGGAGCATCAAAGTACAAATGGAAGGAGGCCTCTTGGAAGCTTAGGCTTGCTGACAGTAGTACCGAGTGCTAAACTATCATACACAGGGACCAGGTTTTTCTCTTTATCATTTACTTTGACATAGGACAGTGATGGTGAACCTTTCAGTGACTGAGTACCCAAACTGCAACCCCAAATCCACTTATTTATTGCAAAGTGCCAACACTGCAATTAAACCTGAATACTGAAGTTTTAGTTTAGGAAAAATAGCTCACACATTAACATCTTTTGTCTTAAACAACATGTGTGTCATAGGTTTGTCACCACTGACATAGGAGATTCTAGCCTTAGGGCAGCTGGCAGAAGAAATTCTCAACAGATACAAAAAGAGGATGGTCTGATAGTATATGATACGGTGTATGACTGGTGCAATTAAATCAGATTCTATCCCAACCTTGTCATTTCTGCACTAACAAAATATATCCTCCTGGGGCCGGGGATCTGGCTCAGTGGTTTCCCCACCTGCCTCACAAGTGCAAGGTCCCGAATTTGATCCCC